TTTAATTTTATTATCCTTAAAAAATTACAATTATTTTTGATAAAAATGTAAGAATAATAAGAAAAATAAAAAATCCTATATACGAAATTTCATTCTTTACATACATTTTACTGTCTAATAACTTTTACAGAAAGTATATCAATACTAAAATACTAATTCTATTCTTAATAACGTATTTCGAAACGAAACAGTGCTATCAGCACTAGCGATGGTTGTTCTCTAGTCGAGTAAACCGATAGCAAGTATCGATCTTAGCGTTGTAATTCATCATAGGGCAACTGAACAATTACAATTCATTTGCGATACTGCAGCATCACGCACACATCTGAGGATCGGTTCTATCTAAATCCAGAAATCAATGGGCACACGTACATCTGAATGGACAAATATCCGTACTATCCGATTCACGCAGATCATCCCGTGATTTTTCATTCCATCTCAAGTATCCAATAACTACTTCATTTTATTAATCCAAGTCAAATGGAGTACGATTGGACGACGATCAGGTTAGAAAATGCAAAATGAAACGCGGCCCGACCGCGAGAGAAAGAGAGAGAGAGAGAGAGAGAGAATTTCGCTGTGCAAACGCTGCTCTCTGACAAAGGGGCGAGTTAGTGGAGTTCACCGGTGGAAGGTATGAGTTAAAATCACAAACGCCACGGGCAGTCGGCTGGTTTCTCGTAAAACAAGCAGAAATTTCGTACAATGCCCGCAGCGAGAGGGCAGGTCGCTCGCAAACGCAAGGAACGCGCCGTCAAAGCCGCCTGCCGCTTGTCGTCTTCAAACGTGCTATCGTCCCTCGATCTGTTCCTCGTTCGTGCTCGATAAAACTCGCCTCTCTTCGCTCGCACTTGTACTCCCCCCACTCCGGCCACGCCGCTCACGTGGTCACAAAATGGCGTTGACAGTTGTGAACGCGTGTATACGCGCGCGTGTGTCTATGCACGTGTTGTGTTCGAATCGTGTGTATACGAATGCAAATTGCACGAGAAAGAGGCTCGTCCGGATATCCCAAAGGCGGAGAAGTGCCTACCGGAGTAGATAAGGAGAACAAACGAGTCCTTGTGGCGGGAGGACGATATCTTCATAGTCGCGGAGCTGCCGGTACTCGTGGCGGCCTCTCAAAGCGGGCAGAAAAGGACCAAGGAGATGCATGCCGATAAGGAAAGAAAAGAGATGGGAGATTCAAAGCATCCAACGTGCTGTGAGTCTAGACGATCGTAAGGAGTTAGCTGGTTGAAAGAAAGGAGGAAAGAGGAAGGAAGGAAGGAAGGAGAGGGAGAAAGAAAGAATGGAAGAAGGAAGGAAGGAAGGAAGGAAGGAAGGAAGGAAGAATCTAAGTCGTGGAACAGCAACGGCCGACGTTTTCTGTTTAAGCGACATCAAAGGCCCTGTCGCGAATTTTCCTTTCACCGTGCCTATACTCTCTGCGCCACTCGTTTCGGGTCACAGCATATTTGCGTTTTACGGCTGTCTCGTAATGCGAGGGAATCGGATATAGGATTGACGGATTTGAAACTGTATCGAAACATATTGTGGTGGTAGTTATACGCTGATTACCTCTATAGATCCTTTGCATGATATAAAAGTATATGAAACTCAATTTTAATGAGTCAAAATCAAATTATGATGACAAGATATTAAAAAGATATTTTTAAAATATTCACGCACGCGGAATTTAAAATGATTTAAAGAAATATTATCTTCCAAATCTAAATTTAAAATCAATATTCAATTTAACAACTTTGAGTGGAAGTTTTAAGAAACACCCTATATATACCTTGGATAGTTGGACGAAAGAATGGCAAGCGAGCAGGAGTCGCCACCACTAAAAAGTGTAAACGTTGTAGGCAGATTTCGACTGAAGCAACTTCTCCATCCATCTCTTCTCCCTTTCTTCCCAACTCTCATCCATTCGTCTCCATCCCGCCTGTGGTATACGTACATTGTGCGTGCGTCTACCACGATTGTTCGTCAGTATCAACGACCAGCAGGATGTACCGAAGGGGATAATTAAACTTCCCAACGAGCGAGGGCACACTCTCACGAGTCGTGCTCTCGACGGAATAGCTTCGAGAGAGTCAATAGTATCTCTATAACCCTCGTCGCATCTGCAAAGATGTCTAGATACAGACGGGGACGGAGTGGGGATAGGGCAACGCTTGGGTGGGGGGAGGAGGGGAGTAGCGATTTAGGATCATCCTGGCTGGATACGCGTCACCAAGCTGACGAGAAATTACGATCGAGTATTTAATTATAAATTCGAGTTCGCCTCGACGGAATTCGCGGTCTCGTTCAAGCGTGGTGTAATCGGCGCCAGAGAGGGCCCACCCTTTTCGAGGCGATTAAATCGACGATGATAGTAACTCCGTTCTTTGACTGGATGATAGGAATCGTCGATTTTACGAGCAAGAGGTTTTAATTAGTGGTGTACAGGTGGATACATGACTGTTCGTCGAGTCGAAGAAATTAAACGTATTGATACTTGGCTAGCTTCTTCGATAGCTACAGAATTTGAGAGGAATTTGATTGCACGATTTAGAAAGATTGGGAGAGAAATTTTTGGAAAATATTTTTTATCACTTTCAAGAATGCAAAATATTGTGGAAAAAAGGGATTTCATAAACAATTTATCAATCTTCTTTTAATTTAAAATCATTATAAATAATATTCGTTTTAAAATTTTACTTTGACGTAATCTTGATGAGAATGTGGAAAAAGTATCATTAATTCTATTTTCATAAATTTTCATTCGTATCGAACAACGTTATATTTTTGTATCTTTCAAAGCAATAAAAATCTCTAAGTTTCGTATATAAATTATTCGTTTATATACTGCGTTTATATACTGCATTCGTTGTATAATACTTTGAACCTCGAACCTCGATGTAATTGCTCAGGACATTTAATGCGAGAGAAGCGATTATTTTTACGATTCGAGATTGTTGAGATGCAAATCAATCAACGCAGGATATTTCGTCTTTTATTTTCATCGATGGCACAGGTAAACAATATTGTAACAATATCGATACGCCCCTTGTCTATTTACTGACCGATAATTGTAACACGATATTATTAATTATAAACTGTGCAGTTAATACGTTTTCACGTATTGCGTTATTAACGTTTATCTTCGTGATTATTATTGCCTTTTGTTTTATCGTTTGTATTATCTTTTTGTGTACCATGACAATGTATTATGACGATATAATTGAAAGTATTTTGTATCTTTAACGTCGTTACGCAAAGTAGTTAGATATATTAATGGTAGATTTCTTACGGAGATATGACAGGCATGCTCATCTATTCCGTAGTTCCAGACGATCACTAGTGGCGCTGTTTACATGTCGTCTGACCTGTTTGCATTGCATCCTCGTTTTCATTTACCGTGTTTCGAATAGTTGAAAGTTTACTCGATTCACGAGATCTATGAATAGAGATTTCTAACGATATAACTTGTTCAATGCAGAAATTACTTCAAAATTAGTCCGTAATGAATCGATCGTAATACAAATGTAATATATAAATGTAAATTCTAAATTATAAATTGACCCAAAGACCTAAAATAAATATAAAGGATAAAAAGTTGCTTCTTTTTTGTAAAAAATGAAAAAAACAAAATAGAAATTAAAGTGTTTGCCAATTTCGATTAATGTTCTAAAGAATTTACAAAATGGTCTCATTCATTATTTCCATAGCCATACAAAATCTCAAACATAAATTCTATAAATTCTATAAATTCTATAATTATTTATTTTATATAATTATTCTATAAAAATTTTATAATTACAACGTGATAAAGGCAAAAACTATAAAAATATGTCTATACTTATAGAAAGAAAAAAATAGTATTATCAACGTTATGAATTGCAGATGAAAATTCCTTTCATTTATTAGCAAGGATCAAAGGAAAATCACGACATCTAAGGAAGTCGCACATAACCTATTATACGACATTGAAAATGAAGCTAATAAGAAAGAAAAACGGTTCACAGTGTTCCAACGCGTATATAGGGAACAAAAGAGCAAGTAAGTTCACAATAGCGAAAGCAGCTTTTTTCTCGTTGCAAAGCGCATTATTAATTTCAAACATAATAAAATTTCTAAATATTTTTTTATCGTAACGTTGAAAACGTTTAATAAAATTCTTGTGTGCATTTCTAGGTGTGTATCTAAAAAGAAAAAAATATTTAAATATTTTTTCAATTTCCAACATTTTTATCTAAAATCTACTCAAATAAATTTAATGAATTGTAATTTTTAATAAGTTAAATTTTAAAATAATCTAAACTCTAAAAAATCTTGACTATCGTATTATAAATCACAGATTTATCTTATTTAAAAATAAATGTGATCTGCTTCACTTTTCTACATTCGAACAGAATCTGCCCGATCTTTACAACGATCACAATTCACGATAAAAATCAGCACACGCATCACTACCACGTTTGACCATTTCACGTCGTCGCTTCTACCTAACTTGTTGATACTCGACCGCACACCGTAATCCCATATCGAACTACCCACGCACCTCTTCAATTCCACCGAATAACCTCGATCCTCGTTCCCCTTGCTTCCCTCCATCAAAAAATATCCAATCAACCGCCACCGACAAAAACTGAAAACTCAGAACTTTCCAGCCTTCGTCCCACGAGCAATCCCTCTCGAAACTTTCCAACAGTGAGAAGTTGTGCGCGGATATCGACACCCCGGCGGATCCGCATCGCAAAACAAGCGTAGACACGACGAGTCACAGCGATACGATGGTCACGACGCCGTGACGACGAATAGTGAGTACACCACCCGCGTGGCGGCGTTCTCTTCCAACGGTTTATCCGTTCATGGTGTTGGAGGGGTGATGTGAAGCGCGTGGCACGCATGCGCGTCGAGAGCGGCGTGGTGGGGACACTCAGTGTCACTCGGTGCCGGGCGTTGCGGCGCTGTGGCCCTTCAGTCTTTGATCTGCAGCTGACGTGAGTGTATACGTTTTCCTCGAGCGTGCTCTCTCTCTCGAACGACGAGATCGTTTCTCACTGAACGCAATAAAGAGGGGAGTCTACGAGCACGATACAACGTTGGTGGTGCAGTAACCTCTCGTTGTACGCTATATCACCTCGGTATCTACGCTCGAGAAGACGACGAACTAAGCCGAAAGCAGACGGCAGGATCACACGATTGGATTTAAACACGCTTCGGCACGATCGTTATTGGAGTTTCGTTTTTCGTGAAGTGCCTCGAAGTTTTTTTCTTCTTTCTTTGATTCGATTTTTTCATTAATTTCGCGAACGGATCGAAATAATTGTTGCCATTTAAAAGCGATTCGAAAAAAGGAGTAGTGAGGCTAGATGAGAGAAATTGTTGAGTAACTGGTTGGTCTTCGGCGACACGGTCTCTTCACTTGCACCCCTGGGACCTTCAGGGCACGCTGCTCACGCTCCACCGGCACGGATTTGCGTGCAGTTCTCAACCCCCTGACCCAATTAGCTCGTCCGTGTCGAGAGTATCCGTGACGTATGTTGGCTGCTCGTTCTTGGAAGAGAATTGCTTCTGTCATCGGGATCGTTTGTCTAGTGATGTGCCATTGAGGAAACGCTCTACTTCTGGCTTATACTTCTTATTACAAAAAAGGAATAACACGATACGATCTAAAGTTTCGGAATTGGTGAAGAAAAAAGTGTTCAAGTGTTAAATTATCGAGTTTTTCCAGTGCTTCGAAAGTGTTCGCAGTGAAAAAGGGATACGCGTCGAATCCTGAATCGTCCAATTCTGAAACATCGATCAATCCTTCGCAAAAGTGATCAACAAAAATACCTCAAGGAACTTTCACCATCCATCGACAGCCGTCTGAACAACGTATACCTGCCTCTTATTCAAAAGTGTCCTTTGCAACGAAGAAATAATCGTCCGCTGTTCAACGGCGGACTAGTGACTGGGACCATCCACTTAATCCCCCTTTCGCGTAGCATCGCGCGGGAGTTGAACTTTCTCGCTGGCGTTGACAGATCGATAACAAAGTTTGCGTACACGTTAGCCGGGTCCATAGCCGACGGCTAATCACGGGAACGAATTCAACCATTGTGGAATGCGTCTGTTTTAACGAACCACCCTCAAAACAACGATCGAATCGGCGTGGTATAAACGGCGGCCATTCCAGCGGACAGAAGCAGCGTGACATGCTGACATCCTGAAGGGTAAAAGAATACGCTGCCTCGCTCGTGGAAGGACCTGTATGCGGACCGCGGTGCGTCCGCCGGAAATCTGACGGGCCGTCGTTACTCTAACCGCCGAGGCAGCTTGTCGTTGTCCCTCTCGAGCAAGAAACGCCAGTATCTGGTGAAGTACAAGCGGAAACAGGAGGACAGGCGCGTATCAGAGGGCAAGGAGGAGCAACGGGGCTCCCCGTGGCCCGTACTCATCGACAATCGTCGCAACAAGGGTGCAACGGTGAAGGGTAACGGTGGATTCGGCGACTATTCCGCGGCGGGGGAGTTCGAGGTCTGGGGAGACGAGCAGCACACCGCGGATGGTGTAGAGAGGCAGGTGGCGAGGCCGCCTTCGCGGCAGCAACGATGCGAAGGCGGTTCGTCGCTGAGGCCGTTGCTTCACGTCGCTCATTGTGAGCTCCACTCACCCCGCGAACCGGAGCTGCTGCGACTCGACCATCTGGAGGCTCTCGAGCACAAGTCCGACCGTGACTCGTACTCGATGATGGAGAACTTTCACAGCCCCGTTCCGCCACCGCTGCCGCGACGTCACGTCCGGTAAGATGATGATGATGATGATGATAATTTTGGTGATGCTGACGTGATATATAATTTTGTTTTTTATATTTTTTTTTTGATTTTCTTTTTGATTTAATATGATTGGAAGTTATGGTATTGGATATTTGTCAAAAAGTGTGCGTAAGTGAAGGATCAAAGTGGAAAATGTGCGATTAAGGAAGGTTTTTCCTTGATTATCCAAGGAAGTGGTGGAAATTTCAGTAGGATTTCTTTCAAGTTGTAAATTCTAGTATGTGCTTCTGGGTATAGGGTGTAACAAGTGGATTATCGGTGAGTTTTAGGGATGGAATGTTTTAAGTGATTCGTGGGTGGATTCGTCGGTTGAGAGTAATGAAGAGAATAGGTGTTCCAAAATTTTGTTTTTGAATCGTAGGAAGTTCCGTGCTACAAAAATTTCGACGAGTTTCTAATGATTACTTTCCACGTGAAAATATCCACGTGAAGTATAAGTTAACAAAATATGAGATTCGTATTATTCATACATAATGTTCGAACACGCGGAATAATTTGCATAATTTAACTATTACGAATAATTTGCTGAAATGATTATTTTCACAAACAAATATTTTGTGCTAAATGTTTCGTAAAACATGTGTATCGGAAAACCTGTCAGAACTATTTTTCTTAAATAACTCAACATTTCAACGACGACGAATTTTTATGAATTTTCACGTACATTTTATAAGAAAATGCATTATGCAAAAATAATAACTATTTCAAAATTTCTATGGATATTCTTAGGATATTTAAAGTAAAATTTTATCTTAATAATAAATTCATATTTTTAAATAAATGCATTTAAAAATTTTTTTACGAAAAAATTATATTTTGTCGAAATAGACAAAATTTAAAACGCGTATCTAGATAAAGTTAGAATCAAATTTTCTAATCAAATTTCAACACTGTCTACAAATATAATATCACAGTGATTATCACGCACAAAATGATAAAATATTTAAAATATTTCTAATTTAATGAAGTTTTCCATGTATATCATTATTCCATTACTATAATTCATTGTATTACGATACATCGAAATATTCAAAAACTTTGGTTAAAACTTTTTTCTATTGAATCGTAACTCGTTTGTTTCGTTTTAGTAAAATGTCCTATCTCTTCTCACGTCACGAAATAAACGACCGTTACTATTTCAAATACGTTACGCTCTCGCAATAGCACGCATACATATACGCTCACGCACTCATCCTCTTGCAGCTTCGACACAACTTAACGCCATCAGGTAGCCTTTTTTTGATTTAATCTCTTGCGTTATATTATATTTTATTCGTCAAAAATTCGATTTTAAATCCAATATTAATTTCAAATTACAAAGTTCTGAACGATTAAATCAGCATAATATTTTTATGCATACATGCATAAAAAATATCGCAATGATAAATAATGGTATTCTGTATCTGGATACACGAGATATTCCTTTCTTTCCACACGTTTGCATCGACGTTAGGAAATAATTTATCGAATTGGATAAATTTCGTGATTTCATAAATAGATTCAACAACGTTGAAAGTATTAAAGTATGAAAAGTTCATTGGCAAATTCACGAAGGGAATTATCGCTTTTCTAAACTTCCAATGCCACTTTCATTTTTCCAAGGTGGACTTTAATTTTTAAAGTTGAACGAAAAGTAGACGTTTAAACGGCTTCTTTTCGAAGCGGATTCTCATCGTCGCGGATTGCAACGACAAATATCGAGTTTAATCATCGTTTTCGATTTACGACGCGGGAACAATGGTATCCATCCGGAGAGCTTCATTTGCGTTTACCGGTATATTTACGCGTTCTCAGTTGCTCGGAATGGTGCAATTATAACGTGAAAATACCGATCAGTGATAATGTACGTGCTATTATTGTTGCGGTTATCGAGATTCGGGATGGTGAAACGTTACGTGAATGTATTAAAATCGTGAATTATTTTGAGGTTATAAAGGTTCGATCTGGAATTTTGAAAATCTGTTTTTTTTCGGATATATTGCGTTATAAACATTCGAGATACTAAAAATTTTGATTAAAATTTTAAAAAATTAACCTTAAGATTATAACAAAATGAATTTTGGAGATTATAATTTTTTGATCTTTTGTTAATTGAAAACATTCGTTTGATAATGTTCTTTTTTAAATATATGAATTGTGCGTTATGCAAGAAATTAAAAAGTTTAATTAAATCTCGAGAAAAATTAATTGTATGTAAGATTTTCGAGAAAATGAATATGGATTTTTATACATTTAATCATTATATAAAATATTTTAAAATATGCTCCGTTATTAATTGAAACGATTAATTTATGTGAATATTTTTCTTTATGATATGATAGTAGTGAAACTGTAAAGTAATGATTTCGCGCGAAATTCAAATTCGATATTGTGCCACGAGAATTTTCCAAATATCTGGAAAATTCAGGCGAATGATTCGAATTCCAAGAGAGGATGAACAGAAATATTTTTATCAAATGCTTAAAGTACAGAGAATATTGAAATTCTTAAAGTATTAGATATTTTATCGAAGAATAGGCTTTTATACTGTAGTCAAACCTTTCTTTTGCGCCATATCATTCGTTATCTTAAAGAATATTTTTCCTATCTCCACCATTTTTAATTAAATCGAAAATATAAATTTTCCAATTCACAAAATTAAGAAATGTATACGAGCAAATATTTTATTTTACGGAATATCCAGATAATTCAATGCTCCCTTTTTTAACCAATCGTTTAATTATATCCAATCGTTGATTAAATAATCAATTTTTTTTTTTTTTCATCGATAACCTTGGCTGTTCACCAAGTGTAAACGGAAGCTCGGATGACCTGAACCAGTTATGAGAATGAATTCTCTACTTATTGAAAAGTTGATTTCTCCGCCGACTTTTATCGTTTCGAATTGGGGATCTCGATAATAAACCGTTCCGATTTTTCACCGTGAAATTGAATCGTCAATTGTATCTCGAGTTTGATATTAAAGAGGTTGGAATCGTTTTTAATGATAATCTGATCGACAGATATCACACTCTACTCTTCCTTTAGATTCTTTTTTACAAACGTTTAAAATTATCTTCCATATATATTTAATAAACTCTCAAACTATTAATTACCTCTAACGTAACTTTATTTGGAGGAAAATATGATTCAATGTAAATAATTTTCTCCTAGAAAACATTCTTCTCTTCTTTTAGATCCTTTTTTACAAATGTTCAAATTATCTTCCATATACTCAAACTCTAAAAACTCTCAAACTATTAATTACCAAAATTATCTTCCATATTTTCAATAAATTCTCAAACTATTAATTACCTCTAACTTTATTTCGAAGAAAATATGATTCAAATCAAAATAAATCAAATGTAAATAATTTTCTCTTAGAAAGCATTCTTCTCATCTTCTTTTAGATCTTTTTTTACAAAAATGTTCAAAATTATCTTCCATATTTTCAATAAACTCTCAAATTATTAATTATCTCTAACATAACTTCATTTCGAAGAAAATATGATTCAATGTAAATAATTTTCTCCTAGAAAACATTCTTCTCTTCTTTTAGATCCTTTTTTACAAATGTTCAAATTATCTTCCATATACTCAAACTCTAAAAACTCTCAAACTATTAAATTATCTTCCATATTTTCAATAAACTCTCAAACTATTAATTACCTCTAACTTTATTTCGAAGAAAATATGATTCAAATCAAAATAAATCAAATGTAAATAATTTTCTCTTAGAAAACATTCTTCTCATCTTCTTTTAGATCTTTTTTTACAAATGTTCAAAATTATCTTCCATATTTTCAATAAACTCTCAAACCATTAATTATCTCTAACATAACTTTATTTCGAAGAAAATATGATTCAAATCAAAATAAATAAAATGTAAATAATTCTCTCTCAGAAAATATTTTTCTCATCTTCTCTTCTTTTAGATCCTTTTTTACAAATTTTTTACAAAATTTTTTTCAAAATTATCTTCCATATATATTCGATAAACTCTCAAATTATTAATTACCTCTAACGTAATTTTATTTCGAAGAAAATATGATTCAATGTAAATAATTTTCTCCTAGAAAACATTCTTCTCTTCTTTTAGATCCTTTTTTACAAATGTTCAAATTATCTTCCATATACTCAAACTCTAAAAACTCTCAAACTATTAAATTATCTTCCATATTTTCAATAAACTCTCAAAATTATTATTATATTAAAAATAATTATCTATTAATTACCTCTAACTTTATTTCGAAGAAAATATGATTCAAATCAAAATAAATCAAATGTAAATAATTTTCTCTTAGAAAACATTCTTCTCATCTTCTTTTAGATCTTTTTTTACAAATGTTCAAAATTATCTTCCATATTTTCAATAAACTCTCAAACCATTAATTACCTCTAACATAACTTTATTTCGAAGAAAATATGATTCAAATCAAAATAAATCAAATATAAATAATTCTCTTTCAGAAAACATTCTTCTCATCTTCTCTTCTTTTAGATCCTTTTTTACAAATTTTTTACAAAATTTTTTTCAAAATTATCTTCCATATATATTCAATAAACTCTCAAACTATTAATTATCTCTAACGTAACTTTACTCCAAAGAAAATATGATTCAATGTAAATAATTTTCTCCTAGAAAACATAGATGTACATATACATTTATTCTCATTCTTCCAAAATAATATACTGAAGTATGAGGCTATTAATATAATTAATATAACAATTAATATAATATATTAATATAATATAATATAACTAGATACTTCTCATTAACTTAACATTTTTACATATCACATATATATTCTCAAATTTTGCACAAATGCGTGCAACATATAACGCAATCCAGTTATCTCTGTTATCGGAAAACTTCGAAAATCTTCGATGAAAAGGGAGAGAGGGGAAGGAACGTGTCGAAAATGGGATGGAAAAGGGTTGGACCGCGAGACGAGGGTTGAACAGGGGAGGGACGGCGAGTTGGAAGG